CCCCCAAAGTTAGCTGGAGATCACAGTTTCAAAGTCCCAGGTCAGATTAACCCTTTCTTTCGGTGGATTTATTTTACAATAACAAAAAAAAATATTAAAAAAATCAATTTTTGCAGTGAACCAGCTGAAGGACTCTGGGGAAAGGAGGGACAGAGATTTCTTCTTGTACCCAAGAAGTGGTGTGGGGGGGGGAAAGACTAACACAGTGCATGCCACAGTCACAGAGAGCAAGATCACGGTTCATTTGAGGATGTGATCCTGGAAGGGGTCACCTGCGTTACACAAGTTTATAACGAGGTGGTGGAGTCTCTTCCCCAAAGCAGATCTTGTTAACTGGAGGAGGAAGCGTTGTGCTGCAAACGAACCCAAAAAAAAAAAACCAAACCAAAACAAAACCCAAAAATAGAAGGGAAAAAAAAACCCCAAACCAAAAAAAAAAACCAAACACAAAACCAACCAAAAAACAACCAGGCCTTCTCAACGAAAACCACCATTGTAAACTGTCCAGTTTATTTAAAAAAATGACTACAACAGAGACAACATGAGATTTCATATCTAGACTAGCTTCCTGGTGTCGCACGGCACAAACATACAACAGGTTTGGTTTCTGTCTTTATTTAAAAGAACAAAGCAAAGAGATCGGAGTTGGGTGCTAGAGGCTTCCGTTTGTTTCCAAAAAGAAGTGTCATGTACATATATAAACCCTTCTGCACAAAGAAGGGTCTTGTCATGTCTTGAAATATTTTAAGTTTTGTCCTTCATGTTTTATGGAATAAAAAGTTCAGCCTTTTTATTGCATGAAACTAAACCTGGGGTTTTGGCCCCCGCCACGCGTCTCCCTGCCCATACACCTAGCTTCTTCTTCGTCTTCTTCTTGCATAATTCGTTGAGATCCTCCGAACGGCAGCTGACTCTCTTGATCCTGGAGAGGAGGAGGGGGAGGGAAATCACACACTCATCGTCATGCTGGGGGAATACTGGAAGAGAGACAGAGCCAGGGTGAGAAACCAGGCGGGCCAGACCCCCAAACACCCAAGGGGGGGATGTAAAAGGAGGCCCATGACAGCTGTACAGCCACCTAATTGGGTCTAATAAATCAGGAGGAGAGGAGATGCTGGAGGCTCGAATTTATCAGGGCGTAATCTGCTCCACAACTTGCTTTTCCAGGGAGAAAATCAGCTGAACAGTATGGGGTGAGATGCAACTTAAAACAAACAATTAACATGCCCGTGTGTAAGCGCTGCTAATAGAAGGTCTGCAGCCAAGCAGAGAGCCTTGAATTGGCCAGGCCAGCACAGCTGGCTGCATCTGGACCAGCTCCTCTTCATCCCATGAGATATTCTCCTCTTCATCCCACAGGACCCTCTTCCCTCCCCTTCAATTTCTAGGAAGAAATTCTTTCCTGTGAGGGTGGTGAGACACTGGCACAGGTTGCCCAGAGAAGCTGTGGATGCCCCATCCCTGCAGGGGTTCAAGGCCAGGCTGGATGGGGCTTGGAGCAACCTGGTCTAGTGGGAGGGGTCCCTGCCCATGGCAGGGGGGTTGAACTTGATGGTCTTTAAGGCCCCTTCCAACCCAAACCATTCTGTGATTCCATGATTCTCTCCCCTCCCTCTGTAAGCCCCATCATGCCCAGGACCCAAGTTTGCACCCACCAGAGTATTCTTCCTCCCCACTTTCCATCCCGGAGCAGCTCACACACAGCACAACCCAGGTCCAAAAGCCACCCACCCGTCAAGCCCAGCCACCCCCACATGCCAGGATGCCCTGGGGACCGTCCCCTCGTCCCCAGGGAGGCCCTCACTCACATTGTCATTTTGGAAGGAATGGAGAAAGTTGCCTCCCAGCTCCCCGTCGTCTCTTGGAGTGCCCGGGGGATTGCTAATGCCACTTATGTTGTTTGGAGAATTCTGTGGGAGATGGGAGGGGGGGGAGAGAAGTGGTGAGTGGGTCCTGTGCCCCCCCGTAACACTGGTGGGGGGGCAGGACACAGCCCCACCTGTCCCGATCACGTCCCCCCGACTTGTCCCCATCCGTTGGGGTCACACCAGCACCCCAGGGATGAGAAAAGTGGGGGGACCACGCAGCCACTCTGCAGCTCACTTACTTTTGGAAGTCCATCTATGTCTCCTGACCCTGCGTGGGGGGGGGGACACAAAGAGAGAACAGGCTTATTGAGCATGCAGTGATGGCCCCTGCATCCCCCTGCCCTGCTCCCACCCTCCGAAGGCTTCCAGCACTGGTCCAAACTGGGGGCTGACCCCCAGCAGGCACTGGGATGCTCTGTCAGCATCCCCAAGGAGCAAAGACCCTCCCCCTCAAGCTGCAGCCCCCCGTGGGTGCTCACCTAACGATCCGTTCATGTGATGGGGCTCCATGCCACCCATGCCGCCCATGGGGCCGTCAGAGCCGGGGCCCATCGGGAACTGTGGGGGAGGGAAAAAAGACAACAAACCCCAAATTAGCCACAAAACCATCCCAGTGGCTCGTGGGGACCATCCCCATCCCAGCCATCCCTCCAGAGTGGGGCTGGAGGAAGGACACATCCATCCCCCCCGAGGTTGTGGGACACATCTGGGGGCTCCTGGGGTTCATCTATAAAGTAGATGGGTGAGGGCAGACCCAGACCCACGGCAGAGCAGAGGGCTCCCTCCAACTAGTATTTAAAGAGATTTTAAGTCCTCCCGTGCCCCACAAAACACCACCCCTCGCCGGGCAGGCAGCTGCCACCACCTCGGCCGGAGCAGCAGGACCGCCGCTCTCTTAATAAGCATAAAAAATTAACAAAGTCACCGAAGAGTTAATCGCTTTTTGATGGGTTTGTTTTATTTCTGTTTTGTAACAAATGGCTGAAATCAATTAAAGTGCTTTACTCTCAACTGATGAAGTTAATTATGATTTGTTATGGTATCTGATATGTAAATTATTAGAAAGCAGACTTACATTCGATCGACTGCCTGCGGGCGGTACTGGATTAATCATTGTGTAGATGTTGTCACTTGAATTTGTTGAATCTGTGGAACAGTGAAGCCCAGTAAGTCGGGTGATTAATTCATTTCTTAATTAAAACAAACTCATGCCACTTGAACTCATTCTTTTGTATTTTATCACCTAAAATTCCCTCTAAGTACCACCATTTTCTGGTTAATTTGTATTTAATGAAGATCCACAAAGTTTTTAATCACAGAAATTCAACTGTGAAAAATAATCCAACTCCTGGCTGGGAAGTGCAGGGAGGTGACTCCCTGAGCCCTGCAGCATCCAGATCTACAGGGGGACACGGGGACATCCCCAGATGCCATTCTGAAGCCAAGTGGCCCATGTGGCTCACAAGGCAAAAGTTGGGCAGGGGTTGCCCCCAGGGATGGGGGTCTCCTGGCAGGGGAAGGGGCAGGATCCCAGGAGGGCTTCCCCTGGTGAGGAGGGTCTCGAGGGGGTTGTACCTGCGGGACTGGGCATGATGGGTGTCCCCGGAGGACCGCCACCGCCGGGTGGACCCTGAGGAGAGAAGAAGTGGGGGTCAGCCGTGTGAACTGGAGCATCGCCCACCTCCCCACAGTTTCAAACCTCTCCCCCCAGCTGGATCTTGCACCTCCAAACCCAGCCCGTCTCCCCCAATCCCAGCATTTTGTCCCCCTCCCCACACCACATGAGCTCCCCAAGCTGTAACATCTCAGCCCCCTCAACGACAGAAGGATGGGACTCACCACGTATGTACCAGGCGATGAAGAAGAGTATGGGATCTATAGAGAGAAGAGAGATGGGTTCAGCCATGGGGTGCACAGGGGTCCTGGGGGCTGCACCCCAACAGGGCACATCCAAGAGCCCTGGCCAGGATGGGCATCCCAGGGGATGCAGCACGGAGCAGGGCTTAGGCTTTAGATGCAGCAAAAGGCTGGGGAACCCCCCCCTCATTAGCAGGATTCAGCTAACGAAGAATGGCCTCGTTTGCGGGGACCATCCCCGACCAGCCCTGCTCTTGCTTCAAGATACTCACTGAGTTAGCACTGCTGGGGTTCGGCCACGGTCTGCCGGCTCCCGGCCCCCTGGGATCAAAACGAAACAGGAAAAAAAGCAAATGAAATGTTGTGTTTTCATCCGTACGGTCCCACCGAAGCCCGAGTTGGTGGCCAAACGTCCCCCTGGCACGGGGTTTGCCTTACATGTTAATTCCAGGCATGCCAGGACCGAGGGAGTTGGGTGGAGGTCTCATGCCGCTGCCGTAGTTCTGCAACGACAACCAAGGGTCAGGTCCACCATCACGGGAAGGGAACCAGGAAGAGACAAGAGAAGGGGTGGGGGGAAAAACCCAACAAACCCAACAAACAAAAGGAATCAGAGGGTTTGCTGGCAAAAACGAGCTTTTAAAAAAAATAATAATTACATGATGATGAACATAAAGGAAATTATATTTGTAAAGAAAAGAGGCAGCTGAATACAGAAGGGAGCCCAAAGTGCCTCCTGGTCTCCCATGGAGGGGAAACAGCTCCCTCCCAGCTCTGGGAGTCAAATCTGCTCACAGTCCCCAGGTGCCAACAACAAAACCTTTGGGGTTTGTCTTTTTGTGCTGGAGAAAACAGGGGCAGGAGGAGAGAAGGCGGCGGCGCTTGGAAGGTTATTGCTGCGGCGCGAGGATGGGAAAAGGCTGCACCATCTCCCCCTGGATGGAGCATCCCCTGCTCCCAGGATAAGGGCTGGAGCAGGGAAAAACAAGCCAGGCTTCTTTTCCCATTGCTTCCCAGCTCTCTCCTACAGGGAAGCCTCTCTGGGCTCATCTCCTGGTTTATTCCAGCCCGGCTCAGCCTCCAGTGGGGACCGGGAGCCTCAGATCTGTGTCCCTGGTCTCCTCAAACCAGCTGGAGTACAAAGCCAAGCCCAAGGCAGCGGAGGAGGAAGAGGAATCCCCCCCGAACGCCGCCTCCATTTGGTCTGTGCTTTGCTCCCTGTGCCCTCCGGGCGACGTGCAGCCCGGATTTAGGTCGCGCTGCCGCTCCTCCCCTCCCACCTTCCCCCCTCTCCCTGCCATACATCTTTTTGGGCTGTTTCTGCCATTTAGACAAAAAAAAATGGCTAGGGCAGGAGGGGGAATGGCTGGCTGCTTCCTATTTCACACTATTTCGCGCTCCAAGCTGGATTTTAAGTGCAATACTTCAGTGCCGTTGATTTTTCCCTGGATTTACGGATGCGTCGGGGCAGGGTGCATCGCCAAAGTTTGTTTGGAAGAGGCAGAAAAGGGTTTTCCCCAAAAAAACAAATTACCGGTGAGTCCTTAATTGATGGAAATTCCAGGCATTTACACTGAATGGCAGCATCAAATCCCGTGTTTAAAAAAAAAAAAAGAGAAAGAAAAAAAAAAAAACCTGTCCAAACCCCTTCAATGCTTCCTACTGAAGAGTAAATAATATCTGGAATTATTTACATCTTCTCTTCAGCTTCGGAGGGAACGCAGCTGTGCTGGGTGACCTGGATGCTGGGCTCCAGCAAGGCATGGCCAAAACAAAAAAAAAAAAGAAGAAAAAAAAAAAAGCTCAGTGTTTTTAATTGGAGCTGAAAGGCTGGAAAGCGGAGCCATCTGAAAGATGCTCAGGGAGGGTGGGGAGGGAACACAGCTGTGCAGGGTGACCTGGATGCTGGGCTCTGGCAAGGCATCGCCAAAAACCAGCGAGCTACAAACCCTCTTCATGGAGCCACCAGAAAAACCTAATTCTGGCTTCTGCAGAGCTAAAACTGCGACTATTAAAGGGGAAAAAAAGGCATTGGCCATCGGCTGTGAGGGATGATTCATCATCGGCGCGTAATAAATAGCCGTTTTCAGGACGCTGGGATGTCCTGGCTGGATGCTCTGCAGCCCTTTGGAATAATTTAAGGAGAATTTGGGAAGGTCCTGATGCAAAGCTTAAAGGAGAAAAAAAAAAAAAAGAAAAAGCCCTGGTGTGAGGGGCTGCTGGGTTTGGTTGGGTATTTTTGGCGGTTCCCGGATGGCTGCGGGGAGGCAGCGCCCAGCGGGTGCCAGATTGGGAAGCCCAGGCTGCCTTTAAAAAAAAAGAAAAAAAAAAAAAAACCACCCCCCTTCTTCTCCCTACTGTAGGTACACAGGGAAAACGGCGGAGTCAAAAATAAAGCTCTGAACATTTATTTCACAACTCCTGCCGGCTCCCGCAGCCGCCGCCATCCCACGCGGCGCTCCAGGCGCGCTCCCCGCTTCCAAGTTTCTTTGGAAGTGGGAATGGAGCAGCCTCCCCCGGGCAAAGCGCCGCCGCTCGCCTTGGCGCAGGCCACGCTAACAAATGCCACTTTTTTTTTTCCTTTTTTTTTGGGGGGGGGGGCACAATCCTCCAGGAAAGAAGGATTTGAAGCAGGGTGCTATCGGAGGGGCTCTCGGTGAAAGCAATGCTCCTGCAGGTTTGTCATCTCCTACCCCTAGGAGGGATCCGGGCATCCCTGAGCAGCATCCTCAGGCTTGGTGCTGTTAAAAAGAGATGACACGATTCCCCTCTTTACACAATATTCTCCGGGAGGGAGGGGGGAAGGGGGGGAAAAAAACAAAACACAAACAAAACTCCAGCGCACCCGCTCGTCTCTTGACAGACTCTGATCCTCGCGCTACAAACGGGGCGTAGGCGACGAGGCAGAGAGGATAAACCTCCAACCAAAATATGGTAATCTGCCTTTGAAGTCTCGTAGAAGGAACAAACAGGAGTGAGTCAACAACGAGCCGCTCCGTAAAAGTGAATCGAGGGAAAGACGGCATATATTAACCCAGATCTGCTTAATTTCCAAGAGTTTACTCCCCTTGCCCGAAATAGAGAGCTCCAGCAGGCAGCAAGGAGGGGAACCTCGCGGAGGAAAGCCTCATTCCCCTGCTAAAGGGATCTTGGCCGTTTCTCTTGTTTATTTATTTATTTTTAATGCAAAATATCCTTTCCCTTTCCTGCCGTTAGGGCCGTAACTGTTTCCCAGGCAGGCGGTGTAATGCACTCCAAGGCTGCTCCGAAGGTTGCAATACCCTTAATGAGCTCTGAAGACCTCACTCACTTTAAAAGGAGGGATTTCCAGATGCGAGGCTAATGTAAAACGCATTAAGACTAATGAGGGAGGGGGGGGGGAGAGGATGGAAACTCCCAGCCCTTGGAGCCCCCCAGGAGGTTGTTTGGATGGTTTTGATGGTAAGATGCTCTTTGGCACTGGGCTTACCTGCGGACCGGGACCCATGGGGCCCATCCCTCGTGGAGGATTCATCCTCTGCATGGGGCCGCCCATGTTAGGGTGCCCTGTGGGGAGGAAAGCAAGGGTGTTAGGAGGTCCAGCAGCAACCGAGGGTCCCAAAATTAACAGCTTAACGAGAATCATTAACGTCCCACCCTCCTCCACCGGGCTTACCTTGCTGTCGCGTGGGATCCATGGAGTTGGGCAGCAACGGCTGTGTACCGGGAACGGCACCCGGGGGCTGGAAAACAAGGGGAAGAAGGTTTAAATAAAATAAAATAAATTATTGCTACAACGCAGCCTAGAGAGAGAGAGATGTGGGTGGGGGCTTTTAGGCTTTCGGGGTGCTCCTTGGGGTGATCCCTGGGATGCATCACCCCTCTGGCTGCTGCACAACATCCAAGCATCCTGTATCCACTGGATCCTGCATCCCGCTGCATCCTGCCTCCCAGGCATCTTCCTACAGCCTCCAGGTGTTTGCCCCCCCCCTTCCCTTTCACAAACACCCTCTAAAAACCAGACAAGGGCACCCATGTTTCCTCCTCCCCCCCACAGCCCACAGCTGCTGTATTTTAGGGGAGGGGGGGAAAGACTGGGCTGCACAGGCGGATGCTCCCCCTCCCCAAACCCAGCTCTGCTCCGCCAAGGCGGCTATTTAAAGTTCAAAGGCTGCTCCGAACAGATAAAGGGGAAGAAAAACGCAGATAACATCTGCCTGGGGGGGGAAGCAAACTGTAAACAGTTTCGCTACAGCACTGCCTTTTTATTTGAATAAAAAAGGCACAGGCAGATCCCACCGCTGGAGCAGGGCAGGGGCACTGGGTGCACACAGCTGTGCCCAGGCAGAATCTGCCCAATCCCCATTTTTTTTGCCAGCCTGGAAGCTAGCAGCAGGAGGAAGATAAACCAGGGATGGGAGGAGGGGGGGTTTGTAGTGATGGATATTTACACTTCTGCTGCCTGACCTTCCTGCCTGCCTATTTATTCCCCTTGTCCCTCTGGATGTGACCATAAACTCTGCCTAAGTACAAACCTGTGTTTTATGCGTGGCGTTTTGGGGGGGGGGGGAAATTAAATCCTTCTAATTACCTTTACCCACTCCTGGATGCTCGACCCTGCTGCAAGAGCAGCCAGCCCAGACTGGTCCCCTTCCTGCCCCAGCTCACTGTGCTCACCTCCAGCAGCACTCAGGACCAGCCTGGGTACCACAGACGGGGGGTGGGGGGCGTTAAAAATGTCCCCGTGAGGAGGTGCAGTTAATTAATACCTCACTAAAACACCCACCGGTGCCCTGGGTGGGAAGCTCTTCCCACTCAGCTGGCCTTGGGGGTCCTACATCAGCACCCCCCCCACTGAGTTTTTCTCAGCTGCATCTCAGCTGCCTCAGCATCACTTCGCAAGTTCCAGCAATTCAAGTCACAAATCCAGCAGGCACAACCACGAAGCAAGCTGCTACAGCCCATTTCCTGGCTGTTCTGTTCTTCCCGTTAATAGCTATACAAAAATAATGTTGTCAGCCAAAAAAAAAAGAAAAAAAAAAAAAAAGAAAGAGCTCCCGAGACAATTTTTGCGCAGTCACCTTTCCTACTCAAAGGAATTACGGGGTTTCCTTTAATTTCCCTTTAATGAGGAATAACCTCTGGTCGGGTCATCACCCCTGTGGATCTGCAGGGCGTCGTGGGGAAGGAGATGAATTTCTCAAGCAAAGCCCCGCGCTTGGGCAGCACGTGGGGTGGAAGCCTCCGTCCGTAAGGACCAGAAACAAACCACCCTTGTTTAAGCTGGGCTAAGAGGATAAACCCAACCCCCAAAAAATTCAGCGGTGACCTGCCCTGCTTGACCCCGCCGCTGATCTGAGTCAACCCAACCAGCAGGATTATCTCCATCACTTTAATTTTCTGCGATTGCAGGGGAAAAAAATCTCAGCTGGGCAGCGAGCCCATGGCACGGCTGGGCTGAGAACACCATCAATAAAAAAAAGGTGTGGTGAAAACACCACCAATAAAAAAATGTGTGGTGAAAACACCACCCATAAAAAGGTGGGCACGTGCCGTTTACACCCTGGATATGCCCAAAAATAATTAAAAAAAAATTTAAAATAAAATGGTTGCGTGATGCTTGATGCTCCAGGATGGAGGATGAGAACGGAGGATGCCCGAAGAAAGCAAACCCAAGGAGCATCTATAGGACACATGGCCCTTGACCCCCTCCCCATCCCAAATAACAGCCATCCCTGGGGAAACAGTACCTGGTTGCCCATCCTGATGGGGGGCCGGGGACCTCCGGCGTAGCGCGGCGACATGAACGGCTGCGGGGACACAAAAAAGGGAGGTGAGGGCCGGGCTGCAGGGGGGGCATCACGCTCCCCACGCACACCGGTTAGAGACCATACACGTTGGAATTTAGGATCGTTTAAAAGGAAATTTTAAAAAGAAAAAAAAAAAAAAAAAAAAAAAAAGAGATGTCCGGAGTCCGTTTTTTTTTTTAACGTTTTCTCTGTAGATTTATTGTTTGAGAGCGTTTGACATCGGGAAATACTAGGTGAGGCTGTTAAAATCAGTGCATGGGAAACCCTGAGTGTTAGAACACTGTGCAAGTTTAAATATATAGAGATACATTTAAAAAAGTGGCAAATAAGCACATACAGACACGCACACACAAAAAATCCCCAATGCTAAAGACTGGAAAAAAAAAAAAAAAAAGAAGAAGAAAGACTTAAAAGTTACTTTTTTTTTTTACAACCGCTGCTACTAACGGAAGCTTAAAAACCCACATCAAGTTAAATTTTCTCAGGCTACCTTGGGAAGGTAAAACAGTCTGATACCCACGATTGACTTCTCAGTCCATTGACAACTGCACATCCAAAAAAAAAAAAGAAAAAAAAGAAAAAAAAAGAAAAAAAAATGGGAAAAAACCCACCATTTTGCTTCAGAGCTGGGACACCCGGGGGGATGCTCCCCGGGGTGGGGGGGGAAGGCGGGTACCCGCTGCCCAGCATGCTTATAGAGGAAAAAAATGATACAAAAAAAAAAAGGCAAATCGAGCCCACGTCCCGGTTTCACAGCCCTACCCATCGCTAGTGTCTTTACCTGACTGTGGGGTCCCATCATGCTGTTAGGATTGTGGGGTGGAGGCTGTGCGTGTGGCGAGGGCTGTGACCCAGGCGGTCCCTGTGAGGTCAGACAGTAGAAGGAGGTTATAGATTAGCACATGAAAGCGCAGAAAAGAGCTAAAAAAAAAGGATTGACGGGTGGATCGACCTGTTTGGTCGGGGGAGGCAGTTCTCCCACTTTTTAAAATATTTTTCTTTTTTTTTTTTCCTCTTTTAAATCGAGTTTCTATTCATTTGTAGCTGAACAATGAATAATTACATACGGCCCCAAAAAAAAATAATGAAAAAATTTATTAAAAATCACAACATCTGTCAAAATACAGCAGCCACATTGACGGTAAACAGTCCGGTAGTTCAACCAAGTCTGCAATGATAAACACACAGGGAAACACTTTGGAAGGGCGTGCAACGAGGAGGAAAAAAAAATATGCAGGAGAGGACCAGAGAGGCTGGGGGAAATGCGAAAAAAATCACCCCCGAACCAAAAAAAAGAAGGAAAAAAAATGATATAATTTTCTCCTCTCTCATCCCAAAGGTCGGAAACGCCCCTGCGTTTTGGGGTTGGGTTATTTTGGAGGTGACGGTGGTTCGGTGGAGGTGCTGGATGGAGCGAGGGCAGAGGACGAGGAGCACGTCCCAACGTTTGGCCGGCACAAGTGGGGGCTGCATCGCCAGCCTGGACGGATGCAACATCCTCCCTCGAGGTGGATTCCCTAGGGATGCGAGTAAAATGGCTTGCGAGCAAAGAAAGGATGTCTAGGGGAAAAAAGGAGAGATTAGTCGGTGCAGGTTCAAGGCTGCAATGCAGCAGCCGCTGACATTTTGGGCTCGAACGCCCACTTTTCCTTTTCTTTTTTTCCCTTTTTTTTTTTTAAATTTCCCTTAAAAGCACGAAATTAAAATTTGCTTGGAAAAACCGCGAGCTCGGTGCAAGAAGAAGATAGCGGTGCGTGTTAACGTAAGGAGACCAAAAAAAAAAGAAAAAAAAAAAAAGAATTTTTTAAAAAAAAGGTATTTTTTTTTGAGAGTCAAAGGAGGTATAATTGGTAGAGAAAGCAAACGAGCTTTGTCAGTAGGTGATGGGAAGCGACGGCAGCTCCAGGACCGGCGCCGGAGCAGATGTTCTCTACCTGCCTCGTTACTAATTTCAACAAGTGTTCGCCTTCTAGCTGCTGCCAGCAATGGCATGGTTTGTTACCATGAGCAATTTTCTTAATTAACAGACATTAATTAGCCATTTAGCAATTTTGCAAGCATTTGTTTAGCAGCTTTCCTAAACATGAATACCACTGTGATAATGGTACTGATTAGAGGGTCCCCTAATTAACAGTACAGGGAAGGAAAATTGAAATCACATAAATTAAAAAGGGAGGGGAAGTTAATGAAGGCAGGACATATTTGCACCTGCAAATCTTTTGTACGGCGGAAACTTGAGTGCAATGTAAATAAAGTAAGAGGGTGGGTTTTTTTCCTCTTTTTTTTTTTTCTTTTTTTTCTTTTTTTTTTTCTCTCTCTCTCTCTCTTCTCTCATTTGAACGGTTCGGCGGCGAGATGGAGCCAAGCGGATTTAAACCAGCAGCCTCCTGCCAGCCTCCCCGCTCCAGCCGCTGCGCCCGGGGAGATGATGTCCCACCGTTTACACCACCATTTATTCTCCAGGAGCCAAAGCCAACCAGCCCCCTGCCCGGAGAACCTTGGACAACCCTCCCCGTGCCTTCTCCCTCTACGTCCCACCACGCTGGAGAAGACAAACCTCCGTGGTCCAACTGCGGCATCAACCACCTTTAGCAGAAGTCCTCTCCACGCATGAAACTTGAATTATTTTAGCTTCTGAGGTGGCTTAACTCTGTCTGTTGTGAATGCAAACCGCACTGGGGGACAGCAGCCACCTCCCACCATTGGTTCATGGAGCACAGCACCTCTCAACGAGGTCTCTCCACCACCGAAGCCCTTCCTACACGGCACAGCTGCAGGATTTGGGGTAGGGAAGATTGGCAAAGGTGAAGGAGCCATGAAACTGCGTGGAACAGACAAACTGGGATGTGCAGAGGCCATCTCTCAAGTCCCATCAATGCAAGAGCCAACAGGTCCTCCACAACGCCCACCTTGCTGCACTGCAAGGAAGAGGTGGTTGTTACCCAGGAACTGACTGGACAGTCAGGCAGACTCCATCCTGAAGTTCTTAAACCCCTGACATCTTCCCTCTCGTGTCCCCCGGCGTGTGAAGGTGTGGGGTTAACAGGTATTGAATGCACTGAGGACATGGCCACCTACACGCATCCCAGCTGGGCCTGGAGGTGAGGCTTTGGGGCTGCATTTAGAGCTTCAGAGCAAACCACGTATGGCTATTGTAGAAAAAGCATCTAGAAGACACATTTCCACCAGAGAAAAATCCCCCATGACAATGGGATCCAGAGAGCATCCGTTGCTTGTGCTGCTGGATGCATCCTCCGGAGCGTGGTCCTGCATCCTCGCCATCGCCTTATCCCAGGTGGTCCCACTCCCGGCAGAGACTTCTGGATAACGTGTCTGCAGACACCCAGCTCATGAGAACCTCTCCACAGGCGGGGAGGAGCCAAGAGAGAGGCCCCTTTTTAATACCTTTTTTTTTTCTTTTTTTTGGCTTTTTCCTTCATTCTTTTCTTCTTTTTCTCAAGAGCGGCAGCATCCAAAAGGCAGGCTCCGGGGGCTGCCACCCCCGCGGCCCCCTTGGCACGGCCGCTCCACTCCAGCAGAAAGGCAGCACCCTCTGGATATCGTTATCTCCCTAAATATTTGCAGATGTCCCAGGGCCGGGACCGCCCGCCGGATGGCTTGCTTTCTTCACGCGGGTTTCCCTGGAAGCGGCGGATGATCCCCACGGACGGCGGCGGTCGAGACAAGTGTTTCGCAGAGATGACATGTGGGCTCCAACCAACACAACAACCCCCTTTTTCTTTTCTTTTTTTTTCTTTTCCTCCTTAAAAAACGGCTATTTAGCAGTTATTAACTAGTGCTGTTACAAGAGGAGGCTGAACGCACGCAGTCCTGCTTCCTCCGCATCCCAAATGTCCCGGAGCCACATCCCACACGCCGTGCCCGGCGAGCAGGACCTGCTGGGTGGTGAATTCACTCCCACCTCAAGACCAGCGCTCCCCCCAACCTGAGAAACTCCATCATCTCTCAAGTTCTCATTTTTTCCCTATTTTTTTTCACCCCCAAACTGGATGCCTTGCCTTTGCGGGGGGTGGTGATGGTGGTGTTACTCTTCACCTTCCTGTAGCTGCCTCAAAAAAAAACAAACAACAAACCAAAACCAACAAACAACCCCAAACAGCTAAAATGGGGTTAGAGGAAACTGTTTCCCACAGCTCTTGGTGCCCCAGCCTCCTCTCTGCTTCATTTCCACCCCCCCTCCTCCACTCTAGGGGGGGACTTTAAAAGCCCAACCTGGCCCATCAGACAACCAAAGTTTGCTGCTGTTGCTGCTTCTTTCTACGGAGAGTTTCCAGGCGATCAGGTTGTTTCCACTCCCGCCTTTCAGGAGCTCGACTCCTCAAACTTCTTGTAAAATATTAAAGATGGAAAATGGCAGGAGCGATCATAGCTCCGCGCGTGTCAATTTATGTTTCCAGCGTTAATTCACCACAAATGGATCGTGTTTTATGGGCTCCATACTTTCAGCTAATGGGGGAGTTCTTCTATTTAAAAACCTCTCCGAGCACCTCTGGGGGTGGCAGAACAATGCAGGATGGGAGGAGAAGGCAAAGCATCGCCGCCACGAGACACCCGACCATTTAGAGCAAGCAACGAGAAGGCATCTCGTGTTTTAAAAATACCTGCCCCTGCCTACCCCTTTTTGCCATTAGAAAATGCCAAAATAAATTAGATGGGGATTAATTAAATGCGTGCCTGGGTTTATTGGACAGGAGCTTTATTCCTAGCGAAGGAGAGGGCAGTTTTGCAAGTTGTCAACCAAAAAAAAAAAATTAAGATACCCCTGAAGGAGCCTTCAGGTGCTCCAGGTGCCCACAGGGAGGAGGAGCGTGGCCACCTTCTGCACCATCCCCAGTGAGGACAAGGCAAGGCAGGACAAGGCAAAGCAAAGCAAGGCAGGGCAAGGCAAAGCAAGGCAAGAAAGGGCAAAGGAGGGCAAAGCAAGGCAAGGCAGGGCAAAGGGGGGGGCCAAATTCCCCCGCAGACGGCGGAAGGCAGCCGTGGGCAGGAGCTCTGCCTCGCCTGCAGCTGGGGCTCCCAACTGCAGAAGCCTGGTTTTAAGGAATATGTTAAACACAAGCTCTTCAGGAAACAAACCCGTGTCAGCCGGAGCCAAGAACAGTCACCTCCATCTGGCTGGAGCACCCGAGAGAAAGTTGACTGCAAATCCCACCATATGCTCCAGACGCTCGGTACAAAAGCCTCGGGCATCCTACTAAACTTCCAGAGAAAAAAAAAGAACTTTCTCCAACGCTTGCTTTTCCTCTCTTCCAGCTCCTAGGCCACCTTCCTACAAACCCTGCCTGGTGCAAGGCTGACACTGAGCTCTGCCCCGGGGATTTTGGGAAGGGTAGCCCAATTTTGAGGCTCTTGTGCCACCTGGCTGGAGCTGGCTGACCACAGCTGCTGGCAAAGCCCACCGAGACGTCACCAAGCAAGGGGAAAATGGTGGCATCCAAGGAGGGAGGAGGACAACATGGACCCCTTCCTATTGCCCTTGACTTTAACGTCCTCACCCCTTGGTGGGTGACCTTACCCAAAGTGATGCTCCCCGGGATGTGGGGAGGAGAGGCGGGGAGGGCAGGGGGTGTTGGGGGGAGTTGTCCCCCCCCAGCCACGTCCTCCCCGGGTTCCCGAGGTCTCTCTGCATTAGGGGGCAGTGTGGGAACACGGAGCAGCCTGATGCTTTGTTTTGGTGCATCTCGGCGCCGAGCCGCTGATGCATAGCTAACGCAGCCGCCGACATTGATTTATGGTCAACTTTCCATTTCATCAGCGCGCGGGGTACGGGGCGGCGCGGGGAGTTCGCACCGGGGAGAGGAGGCACGGCCCTGGCTGGGGGGGGGCTGCTGATTGGACACCCCCCACTCACCCCCATTTAATTAAATCTTAAGAAGGTGTGGTGTTAATCACTTTAAATTTTTTGATTTTCCTTCCTACATTTCCCCGGCATCCCTCCTCTAAGGGATCTGCACCCCGGCTCCCATCCTGGTTTGGAAACAAAAGCAGGAACGCCTCCCCTGACCTTTAGGAGGACGAGCAGAGGGTTTGTTTGCTCATCTCAAAAGGGACAAAGAGAGGGATTTAAATAAAAGCATCTACCCACGCTGGCCCTCAACCCGGCCACCTTTTGTCCGGGGCACTGCCCGATGCCGTGCCACCGCCTGGCACCACGCAACGCCCCGCCAACCCAAAGGTGCCCAGGGCCACTCCTTTCCCATCATTTTGGGAAGGTTCTGGGAAGGAGACGCTGAAGGCTGCATCTCCCTTGGCCCCCAGCCCGAAGGTCGCTGCTGAGCCCCAGCGCGGGGAAGGGACTCTCCCTGCAAGACGTTGGCTGCAGCCTGGGCTCCTCCTCTCTTCCCTTCCCGGCGCGTCACTTCTCCTCCAAGCTCACTCCCACGGGTTTTTGGGCCACTAGCTCCCTGGAAAAGTCCATATTAATTTTCTTCCCTTTGCCAAACAGCTGCACACATCCAAACACGTGGGGTTGGGGGGGTTCACGCAGCCCCCCAGGGCAAGAGCGTGGGGTTTCTGCAACCTGACCTTTGCTGGTGACTCCCTCCTCAGCTCCTGGTATGATGCCCCACCATGCCAGGACAGGATCAGGCCATCTAAACCCTCTCAAAAACTGTGTGCCTGTGCCTGCTACCCTCAGGGATATCCCTGCAGGTCCCTGGTGCAGAAGAGCTCGACGCTGAACCCCCCAAGCCATCTCCATCCTCTGGTCTGCTGATATGAGGAGGGCACTGGCCAAGCTGGTACCACCACGACCCTCACTCATTCCCAGGGCTGGCACACCAAGGGTCAGGGAGGAGTCCTTTGCATCTCCTGTGACCTTTATTGGATTTGCCCTCTTAAGTTCAGCACTTTAATTTCCTACAGAGGTAGGACATTATCCCTGAGCTGCGACCAGGTCACCACCAAGCCTCCAGCCCACCTCTGCAGGAGCTGGTCTCCACCACCTCCTGAAGCTGGAACGAGCTCCAGCACTCGCAATAAATCAGCCAGGCTTTCATGGAGGCGATGTTCAGCCTGTGTTAAAAGGTGGGATTTTTCTTCTCCCCTCCTCCCCCTCCATCCCCAGGGCTGGGAGAAGAAACCAGATGTTGGAGGGCTTTCAGGGAAGGCAGGCTCTTGAGATATCACATGCGAGCCATATGCATCGCCACCCGTCCTCTCCTCCCTCCGGCAGCTCCGGGGATGGGCAGCATCCCCCCACACGACACCTGCACCCGTGCCATTATTTCTGCTGGGTTTTCACCACCCACCCCCCCAAAAAAAAAAGAAAAGAAAGCCTAAGAAAGTCCTAAGAAAGCAGAGCTGCTTTTGAGCCCGTTTCCCCAGTGGCTCCTGGTCCAGCCACCTGAGAAGTAGGGAGCGAGGATGGGTTGTTTGCTCCTGAATCAGACCCTCAGTGAAAAAAACATGCTAGGGGAGGATGGAAAGGAAAGCAGGGGGGACAGCTTGGAGGCTGTCAACGAGAGGAGTCGAGATGGGAGCACGAACAGCGCGTCTGGGGAGATGCGGCTCCTCTTCCTCACCTTCCCCTCGGGGGGAAAGCCAACCCCGTGCTCTTGAAGCCTTGCCCTAACTCCGTGCCAGCTCTGCAGCCCTCGCAGCTCCGTGTGAAGCAGGAGCCCCAAAGGACAGTCAGATTCGCCGCGGGGCGAGATCAGGACTTTTTGGAGGCACATTTGTTGGAAGCAGCAGCTTGGCACTGGCGTGGCTGGCAGCAGCTACGACCTGCGAGATAGCATCTCTGCTGCTGGCTTCACCCCCTGCCGCCGTGCGCCGCGACAAGATTCGCCTCTTTTAGGGTTCCCGATCAATATCGGATATTCTTACTTTGTCAGGAGCACGTTCAGGAAATGGGATCTCTCTAACAAAACAAAACAAAAATAAAAATAATAAAAAAAAAATAGACAGGACCCTCCGTCCCCCTCTGCCATACGCACGCCATCGGCGATATCGGGCTCAGATATCGCCACAATAAATCACAAGCGCCTTATCGGGTCTGCCTGTCTACTGCCCGAGGAGTCCTCCCGTACACAAATCACAAGCCCAGATAAAAAAAAAAAGAAATAAAACCACCAGCTTGCCAAAACAAATATTCCTTTCAACTCTTATCCCATTTGTTACACGAACAAGTGTTTCTCCCTCAAGAAGGAGGAGCTGAATGCACCAAGAGCTTGTGCTGGTGCAAACTGCCGCGGCTCACGCCGTGCAAAGAGATTCCAGAGAAACCCCCTCCTCCCCCCCAAAAAAATCACAGAATCACAGAATCTTCTAGGTTGGAAGGGACCTTAAAGATCATCTTGTCCAACCGTCAACCTAACTGACAAAAATAGACACCCACACAACAAACAAGAAGCATCACCATCACTAAACCATACCTCCCAGCACTACATCAACCCGTCTTTTGAACACCTCCAGGGATGGTGCCTCAACCACCTCCCTGGGCAGCCCATTCCAATGGCTGATAACCCTTTCAGTGAAAAAATTTTCCTAATATCCAGCCTGAACCTCCCCTGGCGTAACTTTAGGCCATTTCCTCTCGTCCTGTCACCAGTGACTTGAGAGAAGAGACCGACCCCCATCTCTCTACACCCTCCTTTCAGGTAGTTGTAGAGAGCAAGAAGGTTTCCCCTCAGCCTCCTCTTCTCCAGGCTGAATAACCCCAGCTCCCTCAGCCTCTCCTCATAAGACTTGCAAGTTTTGAAAACTCCTTTTCTGTGAGATTGTGAAGAACTTTTCCATCAGCATCACTCCAAACGTATGTTACCCCCCCACCATCCTTGGTTGGAGCTGGGCGAGGGAGAAGGAAGGAGAGAGGGGATTTTGGGGACTTTACTAGGTATTTTAGCTCACAAGGTGCCTCCAACGGCATTCGGGGACTTGGCTGGAGCCAGCTCCCGCCTGGAGCCGCAGCCAGCGTTTGGTAATGCTTTCAGTGATTGCATTTGGAAAAAATCAAGCGGTTAACCAGAGAGGGAGGTGGTGGGGGCGGTGGAGTGTGGGGGGGGAGAAGTTTCAGGAATCGAAATCCAGAATGTTTTCAATTACGCACGTCTGTTAGGACCGGAGAACAAATACAATCTCAACCCAAACACAAACCAAGCAGCTTTGGGAACAAAAAAAAAAACAACAAAAAAAACCCCATCGGTTGTAAACACACAGTAACCTCTTTGAGGAAGAAAGAAATTCGCTTTCAGGCCACAAAAAAAAAAGAAAAAAAAAAAAGAAAGCAAACGTGGAAGGACAGCAGAACAGGAGTTATCCCTGGACGGGTCAGCTACACGGACATGCTGCTTCCCTAACATCCCCCTTGGGGAAAAAAAAAATCCACCACCACAGTCAGGACAGCGCTGGCACCCAGAGCGTAAGCGAAGACGTGCGTGGGGGGGGAGGCGAGCACCGGGGGGGGCGGCAGCCTACCTGGAAGAAACCGGGTGGGATGGGACCCCCGGGCATCCCGTCGTTCGGGGGAATGTTTCCAAGCACGGGACTCGGGGCGGCAGCTGCGCTCTGCGGGGGAACAAAACCAGGACAAACATGGTGGGTTTGAGTCAGAGTTAAAGAAAAAAAAAACACCAACCACATTCGAAAAGTTGTCTCTCCTCCCACACCACGATGAGTCGATTAGCCTGTTACCTCCAGAGCCCTAAGCATGGCTCCCCATGGCCAAAGCATCGTTCCCCATGACCTAAGCATCACTCCCCCTGCCCCGAGCATCTTCATCCCCCAGGGCACAAGCAAAGGATGCTCAAGAGCTGGGCAGCCACCAGCCCCTGTGATTCACCCAAGGAGAAGACGGCTGCACAAAAAATGGGGACAACTCTGGGGCTTATTTATTCATTTACCCAGGCATTTAGGCTCGTTAGTCCACCAAGGAGCCTCATTGAATGCATCACTTTCAGGCAGAAGCTGGTTTAAGGCTTTTTAAACGCTTTTCTTACCCCACCTTCCCCCTGCCGCTCGCCGTTCAGTTCCGTCCTCTGAAAAGGATGCCTCCCCAACCTTTTATTATCAATTTCCAAATTCATCACATCCCATCTGCGGGGTCACATTCCCCAGGATGAGCCACCTGAGCAGCTCCAGCCCCAAAAAGGAAGGATGGGGGTGGACACAGACACCCCACTCGCTCCTGCTCAGCATCTCTATTTCTACTCACTTCCCTGCTGTGCCGCGGAGCCAGCGGCGCTGGGAAAGCACCAGCGTGATGGGAGGCTCCTACCCAGAAGGAAAACGCTAAGAAAAAAGATCTTTCCTTAAAGAACCTGGCTGACACACGTCCCTGCTGGGCTGGGGGTGATGCCTGTGCCATAAAAGCGCACTCTCATTTACCCATCACCAAACAAAGCCCCGTTCCCAGGGCAGTTACAAGGGAGCCTTGGTGGTATGAACTGGGTTTGGATCACTGAACTGCTCCCTCCAATAATTTTTATGATGGACTTACCCACCTAAAACCAGGTGGCAGGACCGAGGAAAATCGCCCACCACAATAAAAATTGGTGGAAAAATTTTCCACTGTAAAAATTGGTGGAAAAATTTTCCACTGAGGAAATCCCCTGAGCAGATGGGGTACACAGGAGCCTGCTCAGGCTTGGGTTTACCCCAACGCTTGGAGCACCCCCACACCACCAAACCCCACGTCCCGACAGCAGCTGAGCCAGCCCTGGCCCCCAACCGCATCCGGTACGATGACAACCACAAGGGCACCCTCAGCAAGTTTGCTGACAACACCAAGTTTTGATCAACACACTGGAGGGAAGGGATGCCATCCAGAAGGACCTGGCTTGAGAGGTGGGCCCATGAGAACCTCGTGAAGTTCAACCAAGCCAAGTGCAAGGTCCTGCACCTGGGTCAGGGCAATCCCAAGCACAAATACAGGCTGGGTAGAACAGACTGAGAGCAGCCCTGAGGAGAAGGGCTTGAGGGTGCTGGTGGACGAGAAGCTCAACACAAGCTGACAACATGTGCTTGCAGCCCAGAAAGCCAACCATATCCCAGGCTGCATCAAAAGACGCATGGCCAGCAGGGTAAAGGAGGTGATTCTGCTGCTCTGCTCTGGTGAGACCCCACCTGGAGTACTGTGTCCAGCTCTGGAGCCTCCAACATAAGAACATGGACCTGTTGGAGTGAGTCCTGAGGAGGACCATGAAGATGGCAGAGAGCTGGAGCATCTCTCCTGTGAAGACCAGCTGAAAGAGTTGGAGTTGTTCAGCCTGGAAAAGGCTCCTGGGAGACCTTATAGCCCCTTCCAGTACCTAAAGGGGCTACAGAGGAAGTGGGGAGGGACTCTTGATCAGGGAGTGGAGCGATAGGACGAGGGGTAATGGTTTTAAACTGAAAGAGGGGAGATTTAGATTAGATATTGGGAAGAAATTCTTTGCTGTGAGGGTGGTGAGACACTGGAAGAGGTTGCCCAGAGAAGCTGTGGCTGCCCCATCCCTGGAGGTGTTCAAGGCCAGGGTGGATGAGGCTTTGAGCAACCTGGTCTAGTGGGAGGTGTCCTTGGTGATGGCAGGGAGGGTTGGAACTCGATGATCTTTAAGATCCCTTCCAACCCAAACCATTCTATGATTCTATGTGAGCAGAGGAGAGAAGCTGAGATGTCAGGACTTGGGCTGCCTGGAAAATTAAGGATTGTTATTAAGGCCTAAGGCTTGCCAAGGTGGGACCCCAATGTTGGTTGGGAATCTCACTATCCTGGACCAGCAAGCCCCAGATTCTTCTTGGTGAAGTAAGAGGGGTCCCCCTGCAGCCCTGGGGGGCCCTGAACATAGCACCCCGAGCAGCTCCCCCCACATCCATAGCAAAGGCCAGATCTGAGTGTTTTTACAGTTCATTAAAAAAAAAAAAAAAAAGTCCTGGCAGGAAAAATAAGCCTGCCCGTTCCAGGCTCTTTTTATACATCAGACGGCAGCAAAAATAGACGGGAGAGGGAGTGAACCCAGTTCTCCCCCTCCCTCCATCCCCCCCAAGTGGGTCAGCTATAAAAGTAAAACCAAATCTTAATCCAAGGCCATGAACATATTGCAGTTTCTCTGCAAAGCAGATGACGGTTCTTAATGCAAAAATATATAAGACCGAGCCCCAAACTGCAGCGAGCCCATTTGGAATTTCCTTTATTAAACCCTCTATCACGCAAAATGCTTCTCTCCCAAGGCGGCGAGCGCTGCAATAAAGCTGCCAAGGTGATATTTTATGGTTTCAAGAGATTTCCAGCCCACCATAATCCTTTGCCGGGGGAATCTCCCAAAACGAAATGGATCCCAAAGCGGCGGGGAGCGAGGATGGGATCCAGGGGGAAAAGCACGCTGCCCTCCTCCTTCCCTCTGCAACAGGGAGGGAGGGGGCAAAGCAGCCAAAGAAAATCTCGAAGCGAAATGCCCATTTTTTTAAATTTTTTTTTTTTTTCCACAAAACCGCAGAGTATTTTTCCGCGCTAAACACCCTGAAACCTCACCTCTGCCTTCGCGGCGTAAACGGGGATTTAAAGTTCCTCGCACATGTGGCGCTTGGCAGAACTCGGTAATTAAAAACCCGCAAGTGCCCTGAGCATATTGTAGGATGGGAGCCAAATTGGTCAGCCCTTGATGAATGATTTACAAGGCTGCGAAGTGACATTTTATTTCTTTTTTTTTTTTTTTTTTTTATTCCCCTCCCCATCACCGCCGCTAAGGTAAACACGGAGGCACCTTTAGCCCTGCCGAAGCCACAGGAGCGCAGCTGCCTCTGCAGCAGCTCTGCAAAACCCTGGGGATGAGCCAGAAAAGAAAGAAAAAAAGGGGGGAAAAAAGAAAAGACAGTGGGAACAAATTTCCTAAACCCTAGGGGTGAGGACTCCAACCCCAAGGGTCAGCAGCCAAACCCCAAGGACTGATTTCCAAAAATATAGGACTTTTTTTCCCTCCCAGCTCCCCTTCACCTGGCTGATTGTCACCATTTTGCTTAAGAAACTCTTTTTAGGGACTCTGGAGATTTTGGCTGGAGTTTTCCTGCCAAGCCCCTTTCACCAGGTGAATATCCAAGCCCCACTAAACGAAGCCTGTTGTGCCAACGTGCCCAAGCTGGTGCTAATCCGAAGCCGTGTCCAGCCACACGCAGGTCCCCGGTAGCACGTGGTGTCCCAAATTCCCTTCCACCAAACCACCACGCCGGGAAACGCTGCCAGAGATGAGCACGGAACGCTCTGGCACAGCCAGCACACCAGCTCGTTTGCCTTTTATTAGATGGTAAATTTGCTGTTTCCACACTGGAAACAAAATGCAGTTCCTGGGGCATGCATATATAGCTATGTACACACATACATAGATATATATATATTATTTTTTTAAATTTTTTTTTCCCCACCACCACGTATGTTGGATTTTTCCCCCTTTTTTGGTGGAAGCAAGAGGAGGGATGCCAATCTGGATCGCCGCTTCTCGCTTCCAAACCGAAGCTCCCAGTTAACACACCGGCTCGGTACGCCAGCAGATGCCGTCTAAGCCTTTAAATCGCACACTAATTGCACTAATTGAGCTAACAGTCTCTGTTTCGTCTCCCTACCCTGAGTCAACCAGCGTCTTCTGGTACTGCTGTAGAGATCCAAGCTGTTGACTGTAGTGTTATTTTGTCAGCCATTAAACGATTCATCAGAGTCATTAATTGATTTATTACCGCTGCCTGCGAGTATAGCTTTGCAAATAAAGAAGGATGGAGGTCAGGAGGCAATGGAAATCGGACAAAACAGCACAGCCAGGAGCTGGGCACTTGGATTAGCGCTCGGAGCCCGCTGGCACCAGGTTATGGGGGAAAAACAGGGGAAAACGAGAAAAAGATGGGCTGTTTGGCTGCGCTGCCAAACCGGTTAGGTTTTTCAGCTAAAACCTATGGAGGATGTTAAAAGGGCTATTAAAACCGGCTTGTTTTCTTAACCTAATCCTTAGGAAGAAGTACTCATCGTGTTTCAGAGCGGTGGGGCAGAGGCAGCGGGGGGGCTCTGCGCCAGCGTTGGGGTGTCACCCCAATTTGCTTTCCCAGGCTGGGGGCACAGCTCGCCCCCGCCGCCCCGGGAGGAGCTGTGGGCTGGTACTGTTATTTATTTACTTCCTTTAACGCCGGGTTTAGGTCTTTGCCGGGCGAGAAGGTTGGCGAGGGCTGGGTGCGGCGAGCGGTTTCCTGCCCCCCTCCCCGTTCCCCCCCCATCCCCGGCAGACTCAACCCGAGAGGAGCCATGAGGCACCACCGAGGCTGAGAAAATTTTGGGGGACTGAATTTAAAAAAACAAGGCTGAGCTGGTGGGCTGAAATCGCCAGCACACCATCACCCCCAGGAATAAAAGGCAGCCCCCACCAAGGGAAGGTTTGGGAAGCTTTCTGGATGCGCCCTCCCCGTGGAAATCCTGCCATGGGATTCTTCCTCCTCATCCCCATGGCTGGAGAAGCCTGAGGTGCCTGCAAGAGCATCTCCAAGGTGGGCTAAGGTGTTGCACCTCGATGCAAGGATGCCAGTGTCACGGCGAGACGATGCCCTGTGGG